TGACACTGCACAGACCTGATAGTTTTTATGGTAATATCAGTACATATGAATTACCTAATTCGCATAATTAATTAATTTTCAGCATTTGATATAAGTAGTGAGGATTACATTTCAATGAAACTTGGTACATACATGTAGATCCTTTAGGACTATCCAGAGACCTGATTAGTTTTAGGGTAAATAATTGTGCATATTAATTACCCAATTTGCATAATTAATTAATTTTTCAGCTTTCACACTCATTTCTCAAGTACTAATCATCACATTTCAATGAAACTTTGTTCATGGATGCTGTAGTAGGACAATAGGCAGACCTGATAGTTTTTAGGGTAATATCAGTGCATATTAATTACCTAATTTGAATAATTAATTAATTTTCAGCTTTCACACTGATTTCTCAAGTACTAATCATCACATTTCAATGAAACTTTGTACATGGATGCTGTAGGACAATAGACAGACCTGAATAATTGTGGGTTACAATCTGTACATATTAATTAATAATTTGCATAATTAACCAGTTTTAAGCTATCACACTGATATCTAAAGTACTAATTATTCCATTTCAATGAAACTTAGTACAAAGATGATCTAGGACAATGTACAAACCTGTGATGTCTTCAATTCTTTAATTGCGCATTCCTAACAGCGGAGCTATCTCAGCTGAGAGACTGCTTGTTTATTATAATAAATATTGGTAGCCTGGTAACCAGGTTGTGTTGTACAAGTAAGGGTCCCTTGCCTTCTTATAAAAGTCTGGATGATGAGTATGTAACTCACTCATGTTGCTTTTCTAAATATGCGTTTTCCTTATACAATGTCAACTGATAGTTCCCACAGCAATGAAAAATGCAACCACTCCATTCTCTATGACTTTATTAATTTATAAAACATTGGTTAATGAGTAAAATCTTAGTATTAAAGTAAATGGCTTACTCCGCAGAACATACAGCTTACCAGGATATCTTGGAACAGTTTGATGAGTTAAAGTATAAGATGGTTGCCATGGTGTCCAATATGGTATTTATTAACACCTCACTCACCTAGTGTCAATACTAAATGTTTTATGAATATAAAAGTATATAAATTCAAATTGGCTGTTAGAATTCCAATCCAGCAATGGTTCTGTGAAACAATAGTGAAAATAAATTAATAATAATGAGTTAACATTTGATTTAGTGGGCAGGTTGCATCCCATATGGATAAGATGAAAGCATATTGGCATATCTTGGGCCAATCCAACTCTTGAGCCAATCACAATAATATTTGAATTGAGTTTATGCCTTTATAAACTATGGTACAGGTTTCTGTCGCACAATGTACAATCATACATTAAATTGATTGTATTGTATCTTTATTTTCAGAACAATTATTGTCATTACATGAAGGTCAAGGTATGGATATATGGTGGAGGGATGCATATGTATGTCCTACTGAAGAAGAATACAAAGATATGGTGATTAAAAGTGAGTACAGATAACTGTATCACAGGTCTGCTCCAGTCATAGTTGTAAAAGTGAGTACAGATAACTGCATCTCTGGTCTGCTCCAGTCATAGTTGTAAAAGTGAGTACAGATAACTGTATCTCAGGTCTGCTACAGTCATAG